TTCCTTCCTTCTTTCTTTTTTACAAGATTTTCCAGCCTCTGATTCATTAATGTTCTTGGATTTATAAAATATAGGTTTTGTCAAATTTTGAAATGTTTTACACATTAGTTCTTCAAATTTTTGTGCCTTTGCTCTTCCCACGTGTACCATAGATCATTCGATATTGTCCCACAGATCACTGGACCTCTGATTGGTTGATTGATTGATTGATTGATTGATTGATTGACTGGGCCCAGCCAAGACATTGATTGAGTTTGCTTTATTTGTTCAGGGTCACAGTTCTACGTAGACTGTTGTCCAATGTCGCAATGCAGTTGTTTCACTCTTTCTCCATTTTCCTAGTGATTTATAAAGGGCAGTTATGATCTGTTCCTTGTTACTCCATTGTGACTATCAGAGGATATCCTCTCCACTTATCTTTTGACAGGTAGAATTCTCTCTCTAGTGCACTCTGGGGCTCCAGACTTTCCAAAGGAGATTGGGTGGGTTAGACTGGCTTATGTGGAGCTAGAGAAGTAAGCACAGAATCTCCCTCAGTGACTTTACCTAAATATTTGATAATATAATACATTTTTTCTTGACAGTTGTCCCAGTTATAACAGAAACAACAGAGAGGACTTTATAGGAGAAGGTGAAAGCAGGTTAATCTTGCTAGGTTTTTCTGAATTCATTTGTTCCATCTATACCAGAGACGTGATGATAATATTGGCAGTCCCATGAAAGGATATGAAAAGGTTAGGAAGTGATTATCATTAGCTCTAGATGCTAAATTAAGTTAAGCAAAAGGAATTGTCTACCTCTAGGAATTTATAGTTAAAAGAACACATCCAAAGTACAGAAGAGAGAGAGAGAAAAAAAAATAAAATAAAAACAGAGAAAGAAATCTTCCAAAAATTTTTGTTTTAGTGGTATTTATTTATTAAGGAATAGGAACTCCAGTCAACTCACAACAGCAACAAAAAGTTCATGTCTATTTTTTTTGGTACCTGATGAGAAAAATATTTCATAAAAAATGTGATGAATCCATTTGCTGAATGAAAATGAGTAATGATAGTTAAGTCAAAGGGAAAGAGAAGGGGAAGAGAACTGAGAAGAAAATAACATCAAAGCTGTGTCAAAACCAGGAGATTTAAGAATCATAAAGAGAAATAGACAGTTAAAGTAGTCAAGGAAAGGGACGATGGGAAAGTAAAGGATTTGGAGCACAATAGTACAAGCTCATAGTAGGTGCTCAGTGAAGGTTTATTTGGATGATGGATGATGGATAGATTGGTAGATGGGTGGATGACAGGAAAAATATAATAGAAAATGGTAAATGTGATGCTGAGGGTGAGCATTTGATTTTGTTTGTACACAGAGGAATCTAATGGAGACACATGGAATTGTAGCAGTGGGTTTTGGACAGTGGTAATCTGCAACTGTTTTAGGTGAAAATAGCACCTCCACACAGAGTTAACTCATGCTCAAAACCTCAGGTCACTTCCTTGAAGATCACTTCCTGAAAGAGTGACATGCCCTGGCCATCAATCCAAATTAATTAACCAGTTTTTTTTTTCCCTCTGTGGCACCCTATATTTTTCCTTTATTACACTTATCATGGTTTTCAAAAGTATTTGTGGGTAACTGTTTAATATCTGTTCTCTCACTAGACTGTGTGGGAAAGAACTAGAGGCTTTTTATTTGTTTGTTTTCTTTTTCTGTTAATCCTGTGTTCTCAGGGTCTGGCATAAATCCTGGCTCTCATTAAGCTCTCCATAAATACCTGTTGAACGTAGGCATCAGTAAATGAACGAATTCACCAATGAATGAGATTGGGACATTGAGATGTGCAGAGCTCTGGGACCTACCAGTCTCCCGAGACAGAAAGCCTGTTTCCCCAAGGAGTGAGAAAATTTACCCCCAGCCTTTGCCGTTCACTTATTTCCTTAACTAGGACAAGATCATTTATGAGATCTTCTGTCTTCTGAGTCCTTTAATGAGGATCGTGGTTATTATGAAGCTTGGTTGAAGCGTGCTCAGAAGGGCTCAGGTATTTTCTCCCAAGCATCCCCTGGAAGGAAGCGGGGTTCACACCTCTGTTGAACCAAAGGCACACTCAAAACAAAAGCAACTTCTTTGAAATAGGCTTCATCGCCAAAGTTCATGAAATCTTACATTTTAGAAAATGATATGTCTGTATGGTTATTTAGTTTTTTATGTTTTGAGTTATTCGCTGGCTAATTAATAGAACTGTTTTGTCCATTAAATAATTAAATCAAATTGACCCTTCCACAGAATTCGCATTATAATCCTTTGGTTTTTTCCATATTTTTGAGAAGTGTGGGTTTATATGAAAAGATGGGTAGATCCTCCATAATTGTTTGCTGAATCTGAATCTGCCCACAGCAGAAAATCATGGCAGAGCTACCGGGCAAAGCAGAAAATGTAAGCAAGATTCCTTCCCATGGAGGAGAGCCCAGCAGGTTGCTATGAGGGGATGGCTCAAAAGTCAGAAGTGAGAAATCATCTATAACTTCATCTGAATCCAGATAATCAAAAGGAAATAATTATTACTACATGAAATGTAGGAGTTATGTAATAAATTATGTATTCATTATTATAAATCTCATTGTTTTAACAATTTATCACAACATTTAAAATGTTATTACTCTGTAGTATATTAGATTATATAGAGGGGGGGAAAGATTTTTAATTATCAAAGACATGACTTCTATCTTGGTCATATTCTAAGAACCTAATGTAAAACACACACACATACACACACACACACACACACACACACACACACACACACACAGAGCACATCCTTGACTGCTTCCCCAGCAATGTGTTAACATCCCAAACTGGTCAATTCTGCTTCTGAATTAGCCAAGGTGGCATGCCCTACACATTCAGCTGTGGCTCAACTCAGTGAAAACTAAACACCCCGTCACTGGAGCAAACTCTCCTACAAACGAATGTGGTGTGCCCTCAGTTTCCTGATTTCAAAGGGATGTTACAGTCAACTTTTCACTGCAGTGACTGAAAGACCTCACAAGAACAATTGTAGAGGAGGAAAAGTTTATCTGGGGGCTCATGATTTCAGAGGTCTCAGTCCATAGAAGGCTGGCTCCCATTCCTCCAGACTCAAGGTGAGGTGGAACGTCATGGTGGAAGAGTGTGGTGTAGGGAAGCAGCTCACATGATGATCAGAAAGCAGAGAGACTTCATTCCCCGATACAAAATATATACCCCAACGGCACACCCCCAGTGACCCACCTCCTCCAGCCACACCCTACCCACCTTCAGTTACCATTCAGTTAATCCCAGGGGATTAATTCACTGATTGGGTTAAGGCTCTCATAACCCAATCATTTCTCCTCCAAACCTTCCTGCATTGTCTCACCCATGAGCTTTTGGAGGACACTACTTATCTAAACCGTAACAGTGGGATAGCCATACTTGCCTCCCAGGTGGGCTTTGAGCATTCAATGAAGCAGTGCACAGGAGCAGGCCAGGGAAGGGCCTGGCACCTTACAAGTTGTAGGGCTCATTCACTGCTCTGTCATCAAAGCCCACTGGTTAAATGTTAAACTGTCCCTGCCCCAAATCCATACATTGGTGTCTGTTTTAATCCCTAGTGCCTCAGAATGTGGCTATATTTGGAGATAGGGTCTTCACAAAGAAAATTAACTTAAAATTAGGTCATCAGAACAGGTCCTAATGCAGTGTGACTGCTGTCCTTGTGGAAGAGGAAATTTGGACATAGATAAGTACAGGAGGAAGACAGCATGATGACACAGGGAGAAGATGGTCACTTACAAGCCAAGAGGCATGGAATAGCTCCTTCCCTCAGGGCCATCACAAGGAACCAACCCTGCCAACACCATCTTGATCTCGGACTTCAGCCTCCAGAACTGGGAATAAATATGTTTCCATTGTTTAAGCCTCACATCCATGGCAGCCCTAGCAAACTAACAGACCACTATAATAAAAGCTCTGTGAGGGCAGGGGTTTTATTTTTCTTCTACAATGTGCCCTAAGGGCCTAGAATAGAGTCTGACAGTCAGTGTCAGACTCTAATCCATAATTGTTGAAATATGGCATAAATTCCAGTCCTGAGCTTAGCACAGATATTTAGCAAATATTTGAAGACCAAAGAAAGGATTCTATTTCCCAAATTCCAGATGAGGACATAGCCTGAAGAAAATGTTACCTGATTTGTAAATGAATTTATATACGCTTTATAAAACTTTAGCTAGCAAGTCACATTAAAATTGCCTTAATTGAAAAGGGGCAAACTGTCGTGAAATCCAAGCTGGTCTTGGAAAAGCCACATTTGGTAGAATAGATGGTGAATTGTTTAAGGTCCAAACTCCCTGGCCAGAATTTAAGCTCAGTGCTGTAGAGCGCTCTCTTACCAGTCCAACCTGAGTTCCCCAAGACTGCTACAGAGTCACCTGTCTGCGCCTCACTTCCAGATGCACCACCTTGCTAAGTTCTGCTCAGATCCCCCCTCATATCCGTCCTTCCTCACCCTCTAACGCCAAAGTAATATAGTCTTTTCCAACAATTTTCTGAAAACACATCACTTAGTAATCTTTGTGTGGCTCTGATTTCCATTCTAGAGTGAAAGTTCTTTGAGTCAGGGACTTTTAAAAATATTCAATTCTATTGCTAAGTAGGAGTCCAGTAAATGTTATAAATAGAGTTTTAATGAAGTCATTGAGAAACAGCATAGTAGGCATTTACACCCAATCCCAGAACTGACAGCAGTAAGAGCCAGAGAAGGCACCGGCAACTCCAAGTCTCTTTAACAACTTGGGCAAGAGGCCCGCCCCTTAAAAGTAGGAAGTAATAGAGTCAGCGGAATGCCGCAGCCTCTGAAAGACAGAGTGGCCTTCCTGTTAACATCAGTACACCATGCTTAGTTTTTGAGTAACACCTATCTGATCAATGCTGGGAGCACCCTTTCCAAAGGATCATATTACTCTTTCCTTTCCCATTGAGCAGGCACTTACTTCAGATATTGAAATCAGCAACAGGATGCAGAGAAGCATTCCATCTATGCTTTCGTGGGTCTTGGCAAACAGCGGAGTGGGTTTATGCCATCACAGGTAGAAGAAACACCGTACAGAATTAATTAATGTGGACTCTTGTTTTTTGTACTGTAGATGATTTCTGATTCACTTGGTATGAAAGGAAAATTCTTTCCTCCTGATTTGCTGCAAAGTCTTTAGGAAAACTTAATGTGATGTTCCTCAAATTCCTTCCTGACCACTTGATCTCATCTTCATATGACCTTGAAAAGTCACACATCTAAGCAATAATGGTAAAAATCACTAAAGACAGGGAAAGGATTCCTAATGTCACACATAAATGTGAATGATATTAGAGTCCAGCTATTTTAGTAAGCATTCCTCATTTAATCCCCAATCTAACTTTCTCCTCCTCCTCCTCCTCCTCCTCCTCCTCCTCCTCCTCTTCTTCTTCTTCTTTTTTTTTTTTTTTTTTGACACTGGGGATTGAATCCAGGGCACTCAACCACTGAGCCACATCCCAGCCCTTTTTTGCATCTTAATTTAGAGACAGGGTCTCATTAAATTGCTAAGGCTGTCTTTGAACCCACAATCCACCTGCCTCAGCCTCCAGTCACTGGGATTACAGGCGTGCCCCATTGAGCCTGACTCTCTTCATTTTTATGTGATATAACAGGGCATTTTACATGGAACTTTTATTTGTATTTTGAATACAATATTCAATTGTAGTATTTCCCTAGGGAAATAAGGCTCTAAATTATACTATTTTGAGTAAAGTTTATATTTATCAAGCATACTTCAAAGAGCTAGGATGTAAGTCAGTGATAAAGTGTTTGTATATCATGTGTGAGGCCCTGAATTCAATCCCTAGCACCACAAAAAAGGAAAAGAAAAAAAAAAGTAAAAGGTGTTTTTAAAAGAATATACTTCAAAGATAAAAAAGAAAGTGATATATAATAATAGTGCATAAAATATAAAAATAAAAATCAATACTTATTAGTCATAACAGACATCCTGTTTATGGACAAATACATTTAAATTTTAAAAGTCACTTATATTGTCAAGGAAGTTAGTTGTTAAAATAATATAGAGTTGTCTTTTAAGTACAAAGAGTTGTAATAAAAATTAAAAAAATAAAGCCCTTCCTCTAATTAGCTTATAAATAACTTCTAGAGTTTCAGCTCACTAAAAATATTAACCTCAGAGGAGGTGGTAGTAACAACTTAAAACATAAAAACAATTTAAAATTTTTTTGAAAAGAATTTTCTTTAGATTTGAAAAGAAAAATTGAATTACATACATTTTTTTTTATACAGGAAAGATTTTCTTAAAAATAAGCTTTTCTTTTCTTTCCTAGTTTCTAAAGGCTGTGGAATAGGAAGATTGTTATCTGGAATTGAAATAACGTAATCAAGTGTCATTGGGAAGGCATCAGACACCGTGGTCACTGTTTCTGAATTATACAATGCATCTTTATCACATCATCTGTACCAAATGGTCTAGATTAAATTAACTAGGTGTTTGGTTCCCCACACACACCAAAGATCTAAGCATACTTTTCTCCATGGACAGAAGAGAAGAAATCATCAAGAAATTTGAGTAATTTTGTTGTTACCCACATGACACTACTCAGGAGAGCTTTCTCACCTAATCAAAACCAAAGAGTCCTGAGCTCTGGACGTTGGAAAGATACTTTCAAATGCTGGACAACAGGGAGAATCTTGGATATCTGATGATGGAAAGAGCTTCTCCCCAGGACACGGTGACAAACTTGTCCTGTGTCCTCTTGTCCTCATCCTCTCAGCACCAAGTGAAAGCAATCTGAAAATTTGCTCCATATGGAAATAAAGAAACAGGGAAATGGAGAAAAACTTGTGTGAATCTGGGGGAAAGCTTCATTTTTTCAGATATCCACCAAAGAATCAGAGAAACCTGAGGTATTGATGTGGATTGGGGACCCCACCATCATCAGTTTCTGCTTCTTTTGAATTTTCATTTCTCTCGTGTTCAGAACAGAAAAGGGAACTGACCAGATAAATTACTGTGCCATTCTACTAGTGTTTGAATGTATTTCCCTCCTTTTTTAAAAAGTGGATTTTTCTTTTTAAAAATGTTACGTTATTCTGGTGTAACGGACACTATGACTCCTGGGTGGAATTGCGTATTCCGTTGGGCTAGAGCACTCATTACTTCTTTTAAAATGTGTGCTAGTTTTTTTGATGTTGTGACAAAACACCTGAGAAAAACAACTTAAAGGAGGAAAGACTGGTTTGGGCTCAGTTTCAGAGGCTTTAGCCCATGGTCGGCTGACTCCACTGCTCTGGGCCCGAGTGAGGCAGGACATGACGGTGGGAGGGTATGGTAGAGAAGATCTGCCTCCATTTGGCATCTGGGAAGCTAAGAAAGAGCAAAAAGGGGGCCTGGGGCAAGATATATCCTTCCAGAACACACCCCCAGTGACCTGCTTCCTGCAGCTAGGCCCTACCTTCTACAGTTTCTACCACCTCCTTAGACTCCACCAAATTATAATCCCACCAATGGATGGATCCAGGGATGAGATCCCTCATGATCCCTCACTTCCCCCAAAGTTCCACCTCTGAACATTGCTGCATTTGGAGGAACCAAGCTCTCAATAAATGAGTCTTTGGGGGACATTTCAGATCCAAACATGACAGTATTCTTAAACAAAAAAAAATATAGTATTTTTTATAAACCTGTGAATTTTAAGAGCTAGATTTCATGTTTCACGGCTAATAGATCCATTTGCAACAATAACGAGAAAAATCAAAGTGCAAGTCTAGATGGATAATTTGGATCTTGAATGTCCTCCAAAGGTTCCAGTGCTGAAGAGTTGGTTCCCCAGTGACCCTTCTGGGAGGTAGTGGAACCTTTGAAGAGTGGGGTTCAGCTGGAGGCTGTTAGGTTACAGGGGATATTATGAAATGCCCCATTACCCTCTTTCGCTCCCTAGCACGAGGCAAGCAATTGTGCTCCACCATGCTCTCCCGCCATGATGTGCTGCCTTGCCACAGACCCAATGCAAGGGGGCCAACCCATCATGCACTGCAACTTCCAAAACTATAACCCAAGTAGATAATTTCAGGTATTTCATTGCAGTGCTAACACGGTTCATGTAAAATTATTGAGTAGCTAAAATATTCTTTATAATCTAATAAACTGAATATCATTGTAGGTTTTTTTTTTGTTCCTGTCACAATCAGGTCACTTTAAATGTTCAAAGACCAAAAAAGTGCTATAGCTAGTTTGAAGTTCCACGTTTGTTTGTATTCCCCTTCCTTCTTTTTGAATGTTCTGGAAATACAGTATACGGGAGACGGACACTGGAACTTCTACCTAGACATATTTTAATGTATTCATGATAAAAGAAAGTATAACACAATGAATTAAAAACTGAATAGATGCCTGCCTTCTTTTGGTCTGAGAACACATAATAAAAATAAAAGTTAAAATTAATTCAGTGAGCATGGCTCAAAGGATGGTAGCTGGGTGGGGGTGGGGGTGGGGCGGGGGAACAGAGTCAGGGAGACAAACAGGATGCTGGGAGGTGAGAAATAAGGGTGGGGAGTAGTGGGCAATCTCAAGAGGAACTAACAAGATCTGTTGCTTATAGTTACCCAGAAAACTTTTAAGAACAATAACAGACAAACAAAAGTAACTTAGTCGAGAACAAGAGGGAAGCCAGAGCCCTCCAGCTGAGACCATGCACCAGAGTCTTCTGGGCATTCAGGGCTGGAGGTCAGCTCCCTCGCACTCATGTCCCCGAGTGCTGACTCTTCTGTTGGCCTAGGACACAGCACATCTGGCAAAGGGCCACAGGACAGGAGATGGAGCCTGTGCCCTAGGAAGTACACGTTCTGCTTTGAGGAATAGGAACTTGGGCTCTATTCAACTTAGTTTGCTGGCTTTTAGCTTTTTCTCTTTGGAGAGGTTTTCAAGTAAAAACATTCTTTTCAGGAAGAATTCTAGTTCCAAGAAGTTGCACAGGCCCAAATATTCAAGTGGCCATTAAAAAGCCAAAGAGTCAATGAAAGATGTTCGCCTCCTCCAGTGCCCTCACCTCCACAGCCCCTCCCCTCAGCTCCCTTTCAAACTCCCAAGAAAAGAACCTCAGTACCTCTGAGTTGCGGATGCTTTCGGGAGACCACCTTGCCAATTGTGCTTGGTCCTGAATTTAGTTATACATCGCTTGCCATTTCTTTCTAGCTCTTTTTAATCTCTTTTTTTTCTTGTTTCCAAACTATACATGCTAATTGAGAGAGAGAGAGAGAGAGAGAGAGAGAGAGAACACATTATTTAAGGGCAAGTAAAAATATATCACTGCTTTGATACAATCATCATAATCATTTTCATATTTTCTATTTAGTAAATCTCTTTTTTTTTTCCTTCTTTTTTTGGTACCAAGGATCGAACCCAGGAGCACTTAACCACCAAGCCACATCCCCAGCCCTTTTTAATATTTTATTAGAAACAGGGTCTCACTGAGTTGCTTAGGGCCTCACTAAGTTGCTGAGGCTGGGTTTGAACTTAGGATCCTCCCTCCTTCGCCTCCCTAGTCATGGGATTACAGGCGAGCACCACCACACCCATCTAGTAAATCTTTTAATTTCAAGGCTGATGAAGACTTCCTGGCTGTTCATTAAATACAACTATGTGCTGATTTTCATGGACCAATCAGCAAAACTTCCAAAGCATTTGTGAGTATAGATTGGAAATCCAGGATGGAGACCTAGGAATAGGTTTTAGTCCTCTTCACAGCCAAGCACCTGAAGGCCTGTGCAGCTATGCTTGTGCCTGGAGGCAGATGTTTCAAACTTGAGACTTGGGAGATATAGGTACACAGTCCACGGGAGTGAACAAAGGACAATGCCAAGTCTACATTCCCTGAGCACATTGTACCCACTTGTCTTTTTGCAGGCATAGTCACTGAAGGAGAAGATCCCCCCCCACCCTGTGTGTGTGTGTGTGTGTGTGTGTGTAGAATTAGCAACAAAGAAAAAGGTGGTATATGCATGTATACATATGTACATAAGCAGATGCTTCCTAAATTACAGTAAGTGGTTTGGATTAATGATTTCTCAACTTCACAAGGGTGCAAAAGTGATATATGTTGAGTAGAAACCATACTTTGAATTTTGATCTTGTCCAAGGCTAGGGACATATGGTCAGACACTCTGGTGATGGATGCTGGGCTGGGTGGTGAGTGGCAACTCCCAGTCAGTCATGATCATACAGTAAACCACAGGCACTCCACAGTGGACTACGTTGCTAAGCCAGGATGTTTGGTGGGTTAGGTGTAGTTGGTGCATTGATAGTGATATTTTCAGTGTACAGAGGATTATTGGGATGTAATCCCATCAGAGGTCAATGGGTGTCTGTATGTATTTCACCCACTGGTGCATGTATCACAATTCCTACTACCTTCTGCACTGTTGGGACTTTATATTGAAGTTACATTCAAAGTCATTTGTTGTTGTTGTTGTTGTTTTTAGTTGTAGTTGGACACAATACTTTTATTTATTTATTTTTATGTGGTACTGAGGATCAAACCCAGCACCACGAACATGCTAGGTGAGCTCTCTACCGCTGAGCCACAACCCCAGCTCCCCCACATTCAGTGTCATTTTTATGTGTTATCATGCAACTCACATGTTCGAGAACCTTCCTAGGTTCCCAACATTAATTTCCAACATTCTTTATGATACAGCTTCAGCTGACCAGTCCTACCTTGTCCCACAGCAGCCAGAGTGAGCCATGGAAGAGACTACCTCCTCCGTGAAGATTTTTGGTGTGATTTCATGGGCAAGACTGTAAGCCCTTGGAAGTCGTGCTATGCCGTGCTATGCCGTGCTATGCTGTGCATGCTATGGTCTGGTTATGCTTTGAATGTGTCCCTTCAAGGGCTCACGTATAGAAATTGAGTCCCCATTGTGAGTCATTAAGAGGGTGGAGACTTAATCCCAATATAGCATTTAGAGGTGGGGCCCTTGGGAGGTGGTAAGTGTTTGATGAGGTCACCAGGGTGGAGCCCTGTTGATTGACTGGTAGTAGCTTTATAGAAGAGGAAGAGAGAGCAGAAATGATACCCACACGTGCTCCCGGTCTCTTGCGGTGTGATGCCTTGCACCTTCCCGGGATTCTGCCAATAACAAGGCCATCGCCAGACACACCCTCTGCCTTGGACGAGACCAAGTCAAGTTAACCGCTTTTCTGGATGTTTCCTCATTTGTGCTATGGTGGCATTGTCAACAGAAAACAGCCTAAGACACCATACATGAATACTCATATTTTTTTAAAAAGGGAGTAAAATTTACCTTGTTATCTGTTTTAACACCCCTATCATTTTCCTTTCGAAACATTACTCATTACATTCTACATTATATAACAGTCAGAATAAAATATCACTCCAAATTCCTTGAGTGTGGAGATCATATTCTACATTTTTCTTGCACATTCCCCAACCCAGACCTATGGTAAATTTCCAAGCAATACTTTAAATTTAAATGTAACACATTTAAATTGAAATGTACTTTTTCCTTAACACAGAGAAGGGCTGGAAACAAAGAGTCTGTCTCGATTCAAAACAAGGTGAAAAACAGTCTCATTTTTAAATGAGGAAGAAGTTTTTCTTATTTGTAGGTCTCCTGTGGGGTTTTTTTTTTTGTTGTTGTTAGTTTGTTTTGTTTCTCAGTCTGCCTAGCAGCACAGAAATCTAGGTGGCCATGCTATGATTTGACTGCCCACTTCAAAACTCACTGAAATTTAATTGTCAATGTAAGTAGCATTGAGAGGTGAAGACGTTAAGAGAGGATTAGATCCTGGAGGTCTGTCCTCCTGAATGGATTCATATAGGGGGTTCCCGATAAGAGGAAAAAATTCAGCTCCTGTCCTTCCTCTGTTTGGCACATGATTGCTTCCCTTCCTGGGTGTACTGATGTAGCAAAAAGGCCCTTGTCAGATGCTAGCTCCTGGATATTGGACTTCCCAGCCTCCAGAACCGTGAGGAATGAATTTCTTTCCTTTAAAAATTATCCATTGTGTACGTTTTCTGTTACTATGACAAAATACTTGAGGATGCGTAGTTTATAAAGAAAAAGGATTTATTTAGCTCACAATTTTAGAGACTGAAAAATCGAAACAGCATGGCACTGGCTCTTTTAAGGGCCCCATTGTCTGTATCATGACATGGCAGATGGTGGCACAATGGCGAGAGTGTGTGGGGAGACTAAGAGATGTGGTGAGATAGAAATTCAGAAAGACACTTGGTCTGTGAGAACTAATTCAGGGTCCCAAGAAAACTACACCAACTCCTTCTATGGGCAAGCCCTCAGTAACCTAAGACCACTAGACCCCACTTTTTAAAGGTTCTACAATCTATTAATATTCTCATATCTGGGTCCAAGCTTCCAACACACAAACTTCTGAGGAACAAACTACATATAAATCATATGACCCAGTGTGTGCTTAGAAACCAAATTCAGACCATTCCCAACTCACCAATAAGTTACATTCTAAATCTTTATATGTTGTGGGTCATTGATTTGGAAATTATAAATTATTTCCCTTTGAAATAATATTTTTTAAATTGAGTTAGCTGTCAATAGACCTTTATTTTATTTATTTTTATATGTGGTGCTGAGAATCGAACCAAGTGCCTCACACATGCTAGGCAAGCGCTCTACCACTGAGCTACAACCCCAGCCCTGAAATAATATTTATACACAATGCTTTATGATCTCTGACAAGTCCCCAAATGCTGATTTATACTCTCAATGATGCAGACATAGCATATTTGCAAGAAAATGTTGAAAGTGAAGCTACTGACATACTTTACAAAAGAAACAACCAATAAACAACCAAATGTGAGCAATTTTTTTTTTTGTACCAGGGATTGAACCCAGGGGTGCTTAACCATTGAGCCCTGTCCCCGGCCCTTGTTATCTTTTGAGACAGGGTCCCATTAAGTTGCTTAGGCCCTGACTAAATTGCTAAGGTTGGCCTCGAACTTTCGATCATCCTGCCTCAGCCTCCTGAGCCTCTGGGATTACAAGGATGCACCACCACACCCTACCACGTGATTGTTTTTAATTTTTAATGATCATGATTCAGGAAAATAGGTTTAACTACAGAAAAATAAGTGTATTTCCCAGCTATTCTCTCCTAGTTGTCATCATCCACCCTTCTCTTGGTGCCTGTCTTTCTCTTGTGGAATGAAGATGTAGCCTGAGGGCCCAAATCTTACTCTGGGTCCCTCTGGCTAGTTACTGACCCTAACACCTGTCACTCTGCTCCTGGTCTTCTCCTCTTCATGGATCTTCTCCACGGCCCTCTGTCCCGGCTCCCACAGGCACACCCTGAACCTTGCCAAGCCCCAGGACTGCTTTTATAGGTGGTGCTAGGTACTAATCTCACAGGTCTCCATGCTCTGATAACTCACCTCCAAACCCTCCAGGTCACTCCTTATTCCCAACACATGTGCTCTTCAACTATTTGGAACGTCCAGATTGTCCCTAGGTTATCTCTCTGGACCCTTCCTGTTTTACCTCTCCAGCTGAGATTGCAAGATGCAATCTTTTGTGCCACTGTCCTTGGATCGCATGGTCCTGCCAAACACAACCCTGGACAATTGTCCACATGCACTAGAAATGCTGGAAGCTCCGGGGTGGGTGGCAGCAGGGTGAGGAATGCATGCCCCCAGTCTGATCTTTCTCAGAACTCTTGGTCATTCTAATTCAATCTGGGTCTCGTGGAAATCCTAAACCGGATGGACGGATGGATAATACAAGTGGGAACTTGTAAAGATGCTGGAATCTCTAGGCCTTTTGTCACGTTTAAGAGATGGACGGCCCTTAGACTAGTATGTCCAATTTAACTTCAAAATGTGGTCCTGTTCTCCTCTAACACGGGAACCTATCTGCACTGTCCATCATTTCACAAGCACATGACATTTTTCTGCCTTTGTCATTTCGCCACCATCCAACGAAAAGGAGAAAAATTCCTGGAGAAGCCATAGAGAAGCTCTAAAAATATAACATTAGAGAAGTAAGAAGGAATCTTAAGAATACCGATCTCTGCCTCAGAATGGTTACCTGCAATGGAACTGTGAGACACAGCCACAGGGGGAAAGTGGGAACTGGTAGTGGCTTGTGTCCGCCAGGCCCCGAGTCAGTTCCAACAGGGTGTTGCTGTCTCGAGACAGTTTAGCTGTTATTCAGGAACCAACAAATGCTTATGGAACACCTTCCCTGGCTACAGGTTGTTCTAGGAGCTTAGAAAAAGGAGAGAATGATAGTATCTCACACACAGAGCTCACACTCAGGAATAGGGGGTAATAAGTACATAAGAAAATGGGCAAAGTCACTTTAGTTACAGAAACTTTAAAAAAAAAAAAAAAAGTAACCCAGATACTAGGGAGGCAGAGTCAAGAGAATTGTAAGTTCAAGGCCAACCTGAGCAAGACTCTGTCTCAAAATGGAAAAACAAAATAAAACAAAACCATAAAAAGGGCTGGTGATGTAGCTCAGTGGTAGAGTACCCCTGGATTCAACCCCCAGTACTACAAAATAAACAAATAAATAAATAAAATAGGACAAGAACTAGATAATGAATGGAGAGGGTGGGACATTTCATATTGTGTGGTTGAGGAAATCCTCCCTGGAGAGGTCATATTTGAGCTGAAAACTAAATGGCGAGAAAAGAACCATCCAAATGGAATTCTGAAGCATGGGTTTTCACCTTGTGATTACAAAACGGCTGCAGCTTCAAGCATCACACCCTCACATCACAACTTCCCAAGTAGGTGTGGGAGTGTCCTATGAGGACTATTTCCCATAAGCCTCTAGTACACTTCCCTTCAGCCTCCAATGGACAGGGTTAGGTTACATACCTACTCTCCAACCAATCACCAGCCAGAGACTGAGATTGCCATGGCAGGCTGGAAACAAAGATGGCGCCACTGAAACCAGGGAGGCGGAGCCTTCCCTGAGCACATGCCACCCCTAACCTAGCCCAGACCACCAGTTGTCAGCAAGAACAAGGATAAAGCGGCCACTCCAAAGGCTAAGCTTCGATTTGATATTTGATTTACCCAGGATTTCTTGAACACCTGAGGAAGTGCTAATGTTAGAGATAAAAAGAAAACCTAGACACCACTTTTACCATCTCTGCTGCTTAAGAACATTCAGTGAGGAGAGCGCCCTCTTCGCTGGTCCTGGGTATTTCAAAGCCATTGGATTGACCAAGGCACAGTCCATAGCCACATGTGTTCCTGGACCTTCCTCTCATCCCTTCATCTGGGGATGGCTTTTCCTGCCTCTCAATTCATAAGCAGTCAGATAAATAAATGTTAAAAACAGTTCCTGTCCTCACAGAGTTTCCATTCTAGTGCCTGAAAGAGAGAACGGACAGTATTACAAGAGGTAATATGCAGGCGCTCCAGAGCAAAGGAGCAACTCAACTGGCCCAAAGGGTAGGTGGGTACAGGAAGGTGCCACAAGGAGATACATTTTGGAGAAAATGTCACATAAGTCAAGACTTAAAGAATGAATAGAATTAAGGGAAATGGGAGTGGAAATCAGGAGTTGGGAGAGAAGGCAAGGAGACTGTTCCACCCAGAAATTGTGAGCAAATGCCCAGGGGTGGGGAGAGTGAGGAAAGGAAAGGAACCAAGCTCAGCATTACTGAAAGAGAGAGTGGAAGGGGAGAATAGGTACAAATGGGGTTTTGAATGACAGGTAGAGGCCAGGGCAGCAGGAGTGGGAAAACTGGACTTTATTCCAAAGGAAGTAAGCCATGGAACGGACTGACATGTTTTAGGTTTGCATTTTAGAAAAGCCCCCTTACTCTAATTTCCTTGCCACACTTCAGCCCATGCTACAAATAGGATGTCCAACAAGGCACTGTGGCAACAGGGTAGACCAGGATTGTGGTCAAGGAGGATTCAGTGAATGATAGGCTAGGGCCTGTTAGGGAGCAGGGAGCCATGGGTAACTTCAGGCACTTCTGGTTTGGGCATCTGGAAGGATGATGGTGTCCTTTGCTGAGCTACCCAGCACTGGATGGATGCAGTTTTTATACATGTCTCATTTGAGCTGACTCCCACAGGGTGCTGAACGCAGTGTGCTCATTAATTAAACTTTTTTTATGGCTTTTTTTTTTTTCTCCTTCACCACCTTCCATATCAAAGTAACTCCCTTCTTACTTTGGATCACATTTTTCTCCAACAGATCTATTTTCCTCTTTCCCTTTGGGCCTCTATCCACATGATCAGAGTACAAAACCCATGGTTTATGGGCTTCAACTTATCATCACTCTATGCCCTTTGAGTGAAACGGTATGTTTTGAGCACCTACTATGAGCCAGGCACTCAATACAAACACTTCCAGCATTCTCATTAGAATGGCTTTTCAGCTACTATAAATCTAAGGCATCCAAGAAGACACTTAATGGTCAGTGATCATTGAATTGCAATTAGTAATTGATACACACTCAACTTTTTGTGTTTTATTCATTAAAAAATAAAACCCTCACCGCTTTACATTTTAAAGATTAATCATATGGGACTGCAGGATGGCACAGTTTTGGTTGTCCTCCACGTGGTCGTTTGAGTTACCGAGTACTATTATAACGCCGTGCAGCTTCATAAAGAGGCTGAGAATCTATGTATCCATTGCATTTTAAGTAGGACCATGCCAGGATGAAGCATCAAAGTGAGAATGGTGATCTTAAAGGGCTTTTAAAACATCTTGAAGCAATAACAAGCTATAGACTGAAGCAGGGGTGTTTTTAAACATTACACGGGACTAAAACAATTGAACCAATTTGTCCTTTGTTCTTTTTATTGCATTCTTTATTATATTAATGCTGTTTAAAAAGAAATTCAAAAGGCATTAAACTCTAGCACCGAGCTAAGGGCCTGGCTTGGACAGAAAGTGCGTTTCCGTCGTCCCGCTCACATGCAGCGCGTGAAGGCCACTGAGCTCGCTCGCGCTGGCTCCTAGAGAAGCGACATAAATGAAAGGTCGCTAGGCCGAGCCCTCAGCCAGCCGGAGCTCTCGCTCTGGGCAGGAGAATCTCACCGAAGTTTGCCAAGTTTTCTGGCAGGCCGGTCTGAGCAACGGCCGCCTTTTCGCTCCAGTGGCAGGCCTGTGGGAGGTGCATGCCCCCAGGGGTCTCCCAGCTTTCAAAGAAAAGTCCCGCGAGCCTGGGGGGTGACGCCCAGGCCACCCCAACGCTGGGCAGACGAAGAGGGGGCTCCGAAGCCCCAGGGCAAAAAGAAAGAGCGCGCCTACAGGGTGTCCGGTTGATCCTGGAAACTCGGGACCCTTTCAGGCTCGAAGCCCCTCCAACTGACCCCTCGCCCCAGCTGCCGCTCGTCCTCTCCCGAATCCGTCCAGGTCCACCCACTTCTGCACCACTGCTGCCTTCGCTGTTTTTTCTTTCAGAGTTGTGTGTGTGCCTGGCCCAGGAGGGGCCGCGCTGGCCGCGGGGCCCAGCCCTTCCCGCCGGAGCCGGTGATTGATGGCCCC